ATGCATTTCGGTTTCTCATCATGTTCAGTGTTTAATTAGTGTTTTTCGTGGAGATAAACGTATCGTTTGATTGCATCAGATAATTTGTCTATATTCGCTTTTTAAGTCGGTCAGACGCAGGAATATGCAGGGTGATACACGACAGCCATGCCGACACCTTCAGAACTAGATTTTTTCTTACCTCACCCTTTCTATAACCCTGACCTTTCATTTGTGGTCTGCAAGGGAAAAACATAGGTAACATATTTGCGATCGTTGTGATCTGCCTTACCCTGGCCGTTTTGGTCTATGGTCCCTGGGTCTTCTTCTTAAGACCGACAGGATGATGAACTTGTAGTTTGATCATTTCCGATCAATTTTGTTAGCTGATCTGGTCTGACAGACGCTTTTCCTCGTGTAGCCATCTTAAGTTGTGGGTCTGTGCTTCACCCTGCTTACATCCCATACCTCCTTTTTGGTGTGTACGGGTTAAAAACCATGTATTTTGGTAGTTTCCCATTTATTGATCTAACCAAGCGATTTTCTTACGTCAGACGAGTTTTATATTTTCTTGTTTCACTGACGAACAAGAACTTCTCAGGCAAAAAAATGTACAAATAAACCATACATTTTATGAAATAAAAATGATAATTCGACCAAATGAGCTAATTAAAATTAAACTGCCGTTTGGATGTTTCCAAACATAATTGTTCGGGCCTATCAGACGCGTTAATGGTTCCTCAGGGATAAAAGTAGGACGAGATATGCCCGCAAACTTCTTATATTCTTATTTTAATATTTACAGAAACTTACTAATGTAGAGCTTCGGTGCCGTGACTGGTATAATAAATTAAAAAAGTTAATTGTAGAATGTAAAACATATCATGATAAATTCAAAAAATTCATCTCTATGACTCTGATGGCATATGGAACGAAGACTCGTATACTTAGACAGGCATATTTTAACATAGGCTTGATTTTTTTTTTTTTTGCGTTATGAACTATGCATATTAGCCATGTGACAATTCGTATATGTGTGTTCAATTTTTTTTTGGGGTTATTGTGAAAAAGGGCTAGAGGCGACGGTGGGAATCGAACCCACGACCGCGGCGTGAGTCTCTCATGCTAACCACTCGGCTACCGCGGTCCCCGGCTTGATGTATTTAAATTTAATGTAGGGTAATCATATCCACGTTTTTGAATTATTATTATTATTTGTGAAAAGGTGGTCTGTTGTTGTTGTTGTTGTTTACATATAACTAATGATATTACCATTGGTTTATCATTGCAAAGCAAAACACCCCAGTCCAGCAGAAAGAAAATCTAGATGATTTTTGGATAAGAAAATTGTAAACTTTAGCAATGAAGTGGGAGGAAAAGTAAAGAACTTTACCAAAAAAGCATTAAACTGCAACGTAATGTTTGATAGTACTTGATAGGTCGAAATTTGTTATATGATGGACTTTTCAAAAAGAGATTTTGGAAATTCAGTATTGTACCAGATAAACTCGTCAAGGGCCATGAAAGTGCCCAATTTTTTCCGTTTTTACGTCGATGATAATCACTTTTTATGGTTTTCTTTTATTAAATCATAGACGGAGGTTGAGAACGAGGCTCCAATACGGCGATCCGACGTAACGAGCCCGATTGTTTCAGATCTCTTTTCATCTGGTGGATATCGATCCCATTGTCGGACGGCCTTTGTTCATTTGTTTGAGCTCTTAACGACTCACCAGATAAGGAGCCACTCTTCGAGCCGGATAGGCCGTGAGAACCACTTGGCATAAACCATCAGGCCATCTCACGAAATATTATTCAAACTTTAGTTTTGAAAAACAAATAAACAATCGAGGCTAAAAGCATTCCGAAATTGTTTTCAGCATCAACCTAAACTGGCCACGATCCGAAATAACACTTCTGACCTTTAAAAACAAAAAAATATTCCATGTCGCAAATAAAAGTTTGTCAAACTTAATCCAATAAATTTAACAAAAAATAAAGTCATTAATAATTCTTTATTGCTTAGTGCAAATACAAGGAATATATTAATAAGAAACACTATCTTTTCAACTTTATTGCTTTTGAAAATAGTTTTATGTAGAGTTAAGCCGGCCGTACTTCCCGATTATCTTTTCTCTGCCCTTTCACGCCCCAATTTCCTTTCTGGTTATGCATCTAGGACCTTTATCTATGCGTCTGTTCCACTTCCATTTCCTCTTTTTTATAGCATGGTCCGGTTTGAAGGTGAATCTCTTTAAGTTCTTTTTTTTTCTAAGATGCGCCGTTTTAGAACATGCGAGAATAGACGGACTGCTTATATATAAAATAGTTCTGTACGGTAAACTTAATTTTGACGAGAGATGGAAAAACGATTCAACAAATAGAGTAACATCAAATTATTAGCTGTGTTAATCTGTATTTTGTACTTACATATCAAACTACTAATGAAGGGTGTAGATATTTCGGAGTCTATCAACTATCAATTAATTAATCTATATTTAAGGTATTGGTTGAGATAAAATAGTCAGTGTCATGAGAGGGATTCGAACCCACGACCTTCGGCTAAGTTCACTGCTGCTATACTCACTTGAGCTATCGTGACTTCGATCCACTCGGGCACCAACTCCTCATCTCAACTTACAACCTTTGTAATCGTAACCATTGTAGATCTATGGTAGGTTGCAGCTTAGTATTGCTTCATGCAAACAAACTCTAGTCTGAGGTATAAACCCGAGAGTAAAAGGCGATTTCAAAGCTCATCTGGTTCAACACAACACGACGTTTGTTTACAAATTTACGAGATTTTACCTGCGATTCGGCATATTGATGTCAATTATTTATCCATCTAAACATATTTCTACCTACATAATTTACTTGTAAGCATTTAAATATCTTAAGTTTATATGCCTTTCGTCCATTTATATGTGTAACTTTTTATGTTTCTACATTAATAGAATTGTTTTTAAAATATGCCTTTTTCATTTTTTTCTCACCCTCCTTCTCTCGTTTTGTCTCTTTCATTCACTCTCTCTATCTCTCTTCTTTCTCTCTCTGTCTATCTGGCTTTCTTTTTCGCAGTCTCTCTTTCTCTCTCTCTCTCTCACTCTCTCTCCCTCTCTTTTTCTCTCTCTTTCTCTCTCTCTTTCTTCTTCCTTCTCTCAATTTCTCTCTTTCTCTCTCTCTCTCTCTATCTCTCTTCTTTCTCTCTCTGTCTATCTGGCTTTCTTTTTCGCAGTCTCTCTTTCTCACTCTCTCTCCCTCTCTTTTTTCTCTCTCTTTCTCTCTCTCTTTCTTCTTCCTTCTCTCAATTTCTCTCTTTCTCTCTCGCTCTTTCTCTCTTCTTTCTCTCTCTGTCTATCTGGCTTTCTTTTTCGCAGTCTCTCTTTCTCTCTCTCTCTCTCTCACTCTCTCTCTCTTTTTTCTCGCTCTTTCTCTCTTCTTTCTTCTTCCTTCTCTCAATTTCTCTCTTTCTCTCTCGCTCTTTCTCTCTTCTTTCTCTCTCTGTCTATCTGGCTTTCTTTTTCGCAGTCTCTCTTTCTCTCTCTCTCTCACTTTCTCTCCCTCTCTTTTTTTTCTCTCTCTTTCTCTCTCTCTTTCTTCTTCCTTCTCTCAATTTCTCTCTTTCTCTCTCGCTCTTTCTTCTTTCCTCTCTCTCTCTTCTCTCTCTCTCCCTCTCTTTCTCTCTCTTTCTTCTTCCTTTTCTCACTGTCTCTCTTTCTCCCTCTCTCTATCTTCTTCTCTCTCTCTCTCTCTTTCTCCTTCTCTCTCTTTCTTCTCCCTTCTCGCTCTCTCTCTCTCTCTCTCTCTCTCTCTCTCTTCTTCCTTATCTCTCCCTTTCTTATTTCCTCCTCTCTCCCTCTCTCTTTCTTTTTCCATCTCTCTCTCTCTCTCTCTCTCTCTCTCTCTCTCTCTCTCTCTCTCTCTCTCTCTCTCTCTCTCTCTCTCTGTAGCTATGTTTTAAAGAGGTGATGAAAACGTAAGTTTGTATGTATGTAATCTATAACAATATTAGTAAATTTTGTAATTATATAATTTCTTTCTTTGCTGATTTATTACGGTTGTAATATGTAAATTTTTATTTGGTTATTATCATTGTTCCACATTCAACTTACTTTTTTTATTATTATATACATATGATCATCTAGAAATAATGTAAGGTCAAATTGACCTAGCTCTGCGTAAAAAAATCGTTTATCAAATCAAAAATCTCATCTGGCTCTCTCTCAGTAACTCTCTCTCTGTCTATCTGTCTTTCTCCCTCTCTCTCACTTTCTTTTTGCTTTAAATATACAGTTCAAAGCCAGGTCGCCTCAATATTTGTACTTTGTACTTCAACCTTTGAGCAGAGGTCAAGTTGAATTGAGGTCAACCAGTGGTTGTGGTACAGATCTTTATACGGCTCTCTCTTTCTCTCTCACTCTCTCTCCCTCTCTCTCTCTTTCTCTCGCTCTCTTTCTCCTTCTCTCTTTCTTTCTTCTCCCTTCTCTCTCTCTCTATCAAGTGGTCACTGTCTCTTTTTCTCTGTTTTTTTCTATGACCGGCCTTCATATTATATTGCTAACTTCTAATTTATTCATTACCGATCATGTAGGCCTCGTTTTGTTGGCTTGTCCGCTTCCCCATCAGCAGAGTGAGATCCATCCTGTATCACCCTGCTTATAACCCTGATTGATCACTTGAAATGGCTATTTACATTACAGACTATGCCAGCAGGCATAAGCAGACAAAATGTTTAGAACTAACAGATTAAAAATTCAACACCCCGTAGACATCACGTAAATAAGTATTTAAATACTTACGTTGATCCTGCGCTTGTGTTTTCATGATAGTAAAATATCTGAAGAGGTTCTTTGCATTTTTATTGTTTGTTGAACACACACAAATATTAAAGTTGACTTATACCTTTGAAACTGCAGTTTTCTGCTTCAGGAAAAACTTATACGATAGAAATATTTGTTTCAAAATCTTTTAAAAAGGCTCTCGAACGTTATCACTGTCTAAGACGCAAACTTAGGACTTACGTTTCTCCCTCGGTTCCGGCTGGAAATCGGATCGTTTTCCGAACCGCTTGCACACACGACGAGATGTTCCTCCGTTTCGGCGTTGTCGTCCCCCCTGTCCATTCGGCTGGTTGTGTATGCTATTTTCGCATGATCCGGCTACTTTGTCTTGCTTTGATAATAAAACATGTGACCGTATTTTTTTATATTATTTTTACAAAGAGAAAAGAAACAAATGTGAATTTTTCAGCCGGAATTTTATTTTCATACTCGTTTTTTAAGCCTTCATTGATTGCGGCTGAAGACGACTAAGGTGTAGATCACGAAGCCAATCACTATCATCTTCTTTATCTCACATAACCTTTAATTAAAAACAATCGTTTTTAAGAATATGTGTTATAAAGTATCATTTTAAAAATACCTTTGCCTTTCTTCTGTGTCACTTCTCCTGCAGCTCCTTGGGACAAAACGTCTACCACCCTGCGAATTAATTTATCAATATACAGACTAATAGAAATTTTACTTGACATTTAAATATAACAGTGATAACGTTTTCAGAGCCTTTTTATAAAACCTAAACTTATAAATATGCCTTATTGTACAACTAAAGGGCTAATTTGTATTTTCAAATTGCTTCACCTCGTTTTATGAATTATCTTTTTATTAGATCCATCATGAACTGAGCGATAAGGTTTATTTAAAAACCTGTCTTGCACGTAAACGAAACACACATGCAAAGAACACATGTTTTCTAAAACAATAAAAGCTTAACCAGTGTAAATTAATTAAAGATTTGACTAAACACTTGTTAATATTAGAAAAAGTGGGCAAAGTAAAAATGAAACCTAGTTTGTTGTGAATATCTTTACTTTTCGTCTGAAAGACGGGTTTCGACTTCTCGCCATGTTCAGTGATGAATGTTCCGCCTTACCCTCCTACTCGCCTGACCTTGGTTTGGTCGTTTCCGATCATTTCAGTCTACCAAGCCGGGCTGTTTAAATCTATCAGACGGTTACGGCTTCTTGCCATGTTATGTTCTAAATTTGTGTTTTGCCTTACCCTACTTATTTCCCTGACTTTTTACTTATGGTCTGCGGGTAGGTAATCCTGTAATTTGGTCGTTTCTGATTTCTTTGATCTTTCTATCTGTGTTGTTTAGGCCGTTACAAGCGTCTCTTTATCTTTAGTGTTAGGTTGTAGATTTGCTTCACCCTGCTAATAACCCGAACCTTTTATTTGGATCTGCGGGGAGATAAACAATTTGGTTGATCTCGTTCATTCTGGACAGCCTATCCTGGCTATTTTGATTGGCCAGACGCGTTTCTACATTTAGCCTTTTTTTAGGTGGTTATCATTGAACGAGCAAGTGGGAGGTGTGTGAGGGCAAGCGCATCTCGAAAAATTCCCTTTTTCTCAATCCATTTCCTGGGACTGTGCAGTGCTCCTAGGAGACTCCAGCAGACCCTCCCCAACCTTAGTCGCAAGGGGGTTTCCAGGCACAAAAAACGGTGTAGCCTTGAGAACGTGACGAACTGTTTTAAGCACAGCTGCACGAGTTTTCTGGCGCTTGATCGCCTTAAGTATGCAAGGACGATAGAACCAAGGAAGCGTACAGCGTGCGAAGATGCCGAGACTACGCCTACCTAGTCCCTCGTGATGAGTTAAGGGAGTTATTGGCTTAGGGGCTGACAGACGGCGAGTGTGGCATCAGACGATACAATATATACGGACGATGGATGGTGCATAACCATCTGAACTGCGGGGCAGCGTATTTTCGTCCAAGTTCACGCCCAGCTGCAAGGGTAAGGACTCGCAGTGGCCTAGTGGTGAGACCCCTAGCGGGTACCTAGAGAAGAGGTTGTGTTTCATTGGTGGCAGCCTTGCGTATGACCGCCGAATTACCTCCTGATCTCGCGAGAATCGGAGCGATCGGACTGCCGAAGCGTATAGCCAACGGGAGGCTAATTTTTTTTTTGGATACCAGGGACTGGAGGAGTTCCCTACTGAGCACCGCAGCTGAGCTGTACAGCTTGCCTCCGTTGTACCGGTGTTCTTCCATCGAAGAAACTCATTTTTGAAGGGGGTTGGGACCAAATTCAGGGACACTGAGATCCGATCCCGCCCTTCCATTGATGAGTGCCGTGTCAATTTCTTCCAATTGCGGCCACCGGTCCCCTAGGCGTCAGAAAAAGTCCAGAGGCGATGGTGGGGATCGAACCCACGATCGCGGGATCTATTGGCCGAGAGTCTGACGCCTTAACCACTCGGCTACCGCGGCCCCCCTAGGAGGTGGTTAGAGATTCCGCTAAAATTGAAACCGCAGCCGTAGCGCGACCGGAGGTTTCGACGCTGGCGGAGCCCCTACACCCAGGGAGATAAAGCTGCCTTCTCTATCTATGGAGTGCGTGGGAGATACATTTGGACCCCTTTTGGGTATCCCTTTACGCACGGCACACGGTTGAGTGCACAATGTTAATCCACCCCCTTGGAAGGGGCAAGCGGGAGAAGTCGACATGTCGGCAGCATGCTGCAGGATGATGTGGGCTTCTACACCGAACCTCACGGAAGAAGCAGATTTTCCGTGCGCGGAGGTGAGTTGCTCCTAACTTGAGATTCTGAACCTGTGATAAGGCCTATGTGCCAGGCGCGCACGCTAAAGAACCTCAATGTTACATGACATTACGACCCCAGTGGGAAACATAAATTTACCCTTATTTTAGCCTTTTCTCGTCTCTTCATCACACCGCAGGCTTCAAGAAACATTAATTATTAAACAATTAATTTTTTTGTACGGTTAAGGTGGTTGGAGAGGTTGGTATGGAACTTTAAGAAACAGTTTAGTTCAGGAATTAAAAAATCGTGAATAGTGAGATGTGGGACATTTGAAAATTCGTCTTAGGACTGAGATTAAAAGGATTGGATGACTTTCCATGATGATGGAACCCCACAGTTCTGCTTAGTATATCCGTACAGTCAGAAATGAATTCAGTCCTAGCAGTCCAAGTTTCTGTTAAGTTCTCTTAAGTCTTCTGTCATGCCATCTTGATGATTTGGTAAAGCCATAAGTACTTGACTTAGACAGATAGATTAGTCTGGGTGCGTTTTATACTGCGCCCTTTAAGAGCTATTATATCCCCCGTTCTGTGCTTAAAGCACACCAGTAAGTCCTAGTTCATCAAGGAACATGATTAGCACGCCCGGATTTAGAGGTTGGATCTCTTCACATTTCCTCCTGCGGGCAAGCGTAGCAGCACAGTTTGTTAGTGGGATGTACAGCTAAGGTAGCACTGTGAAGAATTGGACTGCAACTTAAATCGGATAATTGACCGGTGTCATGTTGCTGTCATTGCTGCTGAGTGCCGTGGAATCTCGAGCAGCCTGTGTGCAGTGCCATAAGTTTTGTGAAGAGAGTAGTGGCTGTTGACGAGCCGGATAGTTGTGGAAGCTCTTACTGATGAGATGTGATGATGACAATGATTATGAATGTGGTGGGAGTATGAGGCCTAGGCACGGGGGACGCACAAGGGCTCGGCTCCCTTCTTAGCCCTAGAAACCTATAGAGTTTGACCCTTGGCACGCGTTTCCGTCTCCCGTGGTCTTTTTGTCGAACCAATGACTAAAATAGGCCTTTTCTAGGTTCAATTTAAAAATTAAAATTAAATTATATTAAATAAATATTTAAAAACATGAAAGAAGAATAAGAAGTGGGGGTTTATGTTCTCCAAGCACTGCAGCCTTTTGGCTTGAGTTTGTCGATACGATCCACATTTTAATGAGTACTTCTGCTGTTTGTTTGTTTTTTTGTATCCCAGGTTGGCTTCATTTAGCAGTTGCTTCATATTCGAAGATGAAGGGTGGCTGTTTCCTCTTTTTCATTGCATAACGTACAAATGAGATCACCATTGAATATGCCTATGTTAGGTCGGGTTTTATTTCTGATGCCAGTGACCGGTAAATAGTTCTATCACTCCTCTGAGTCGCCTCTAACTGAAGTTGAACTGAGTTTGCCGGTTTTGGTGAGGGTTGTTTTAGGATAAGTTTACTGGCTCTAGTGCACTTTTTTTTTATCCATTCTGTGATTCAGGATTCTGGAGTTTGTTTTTGGTATCCCAAGAAAAGGTTCAGAGCCTATAAATTGATCCTCATCTGTCCAGTGTGTATGCTTTTTTGTTGCTCAAAATTCCTTTGAGTCCTGGTACCCAAGATATCAGGTTATTGTTTCCTCAGGTTATGGAGACTTTGGATGTATTAACTAATTTTGATGGATTTTTGTTAATAATGCTTTAATAGCTGCTTAGCTATCCAATCTTATGACGATTTTTTTGTCGTGCTGTTGAAAATGTCTTCAAGGTCTTCAAGCAGCTGTTAGCCCAGTCGAGTGACGAGTGCGAGCTGTTGAGACGATCTTGTTACTTATGTCGGTTGCTTATTCCATTTAGTGATGAGAACTCGTCGAACAGTATGATTTAAGCCTGTCGAGACCGTTCTTAAAGGGGTGTTGCATATCCACTGGCTCCTGTTAGTAGTAGGCACGCATGGAAGAAACTAGTACACCACGGGCGCTCGCTAGACTTTTAAGTATTGTGTTAGCTGATTGTTTTTTTCACAATAGTTATTTTAGGTAAACAAAAGGGGCGGGGGGGATTTCTGTGTCTAGTTTTTTTCCATGTGTTCGCATGCTGTTCACAACGTGCCATATGTTTACTTGTAGAATGCAGTGGGTAAACAAATGTTGGTTACAATTAGCGACGTTTTATTCTGCCCTCACGGGTTCTTGCCAAATTCTCGGCGGAGTTGGGTCGCGTTCGCAGAAGGGTGTTCGGATTTGAAAGTACCATTAGAATGGCCGAATTACTCGAGCGGCGAGGTAGTTTGGAAGGCACAACTGTCCACGAGTGAGGCACCCCTTTCCGGAGTTGGCTAGCACTTCCAATGACCTATCCGGAAACAATCGGCGTACGTGTATTCCCACAAAGACCAATGCTGAACAATAATGTGAAAGATCTGATCGAATGAGCTCGAATGAAGTAAATGATAACGAACAGCCACCAGACAATCAGGACGTGCCTGTTACTGAGAATGAAAGCAACAGAAAAAAGGAAAAGTCCAAAAAGGAAAAACAAAAGAACAAAAAAAATAAAAAGAATGACAAGAAAAAACAAGACGACAAAGAAAACCGGCAGGATGCCGAAGCCACAGAGTGCAACTTCCCTGAAGAAAATAACAACAAGAAAAAGAAAAAACAGAAGGAAAAAAAGAACACAAACAAGAAATTTGTTTTGCCAGAAGACAAAATAAATGCAGAGTTAGAACAGACGATAGATGAAAAAAGAGACCTGTGTGCCGAAACGGACGATACGTTGCCGAGTTCTTCTACAAAATATACAAACGAAAAGTACATAAATGAGAAACTCGCAAAACTCAAGGACGATCTGGAACGTCTACAAAGCAACCAGGAAAAGAAAATGCAGGAGATAGTAGATTTGAGGAAGAACAAAGAATCGATTCTGGCTCAGCAGAAAAAGTTGAAAATGGAATATGAAGAGTGGAAATTGAGACAGGCACAAGCGCACAAAGAGTTCAAAAGAAAGACGAAAGATGAAATCAAAGAAAGGCAAATTCGATTGAAAAATGAACACGAAAGGTGGAAACAAAAACAAAAAGAGAAAAGAAGGGATACAAAGCGTAGGCTCAAAGAAGAATACAGAGATCGAAAAAGGCGTAGAAAAAGTATAGACTCTTTGAATAGCGACTCAGAATCACGTTCAAGTAGTGAAAGTGTTGATAAAGTTAGCAGCAAGAAAAGCAGGAGTCTTCTACGCAATCACTCAGCCAACCTATCAAATCGTGAACAGGTATTTGACTTATTTTAATTATTATAAAAGACAACTGTAACACATTCAATATTTTCATATTTTCCAATCAATTTTGATGCTAAATTCAATGATGTATCCTTGTAATATAGGTAATGAATTACTTGAATTTATGGTGGTCAAGGTTAATATGGTGAAAATCTATTTTGTGTAAAAGAATTATTGATCTGAAATTGTTCATTCCAGTAAACGAAACTCTAACCTTCCTTAATGATTAAAGCAATTAGTTTTATAGTAGTAATATCCAATTTTATTCATCCTAAATGGTGAGAATTCAAAAGATACAGAAGCTATGTCTAAAGCAGTTTGTAGTGTATAGGAATTCTAACCCAGCTAGGTTATCAAAGTTGATATGGTGAGAATTCAAATGATACAGATACTATGTCAAAAGTAGTTTGTAGTGTATAGAATTCTAACCTAGCTAGGTTATCAAAGTTGATATGGTGAGAACTCAAATGATGCAGATACTATGTCTAAAATAGTTTCATCCAGTGTATAGAACAAAACGACCTAGAATTCTAACCTTGCTTGTTATCAAAGTTGATATGGTGAGAACTCAAAAGATACAGAAACTATGTCAAAAGTAGTTTGTAGTGTATAGAATTCTAACCTAGCTAGGTTATCAAAGTTGATATGGTGAGAACTCATATTATACTAATGAATTGATGAAATAAAAATTTTCAACTTGAACAAAAGGATCTTCAGTGAGGTCACAACAGAAATGACAATTCTTAAAGTTTTTGCTGAGCTTTCAACGATTATATCATCATCATCAGGGCCTATTTATTTTAGGAAAATATTGCAGTTAGAACATGTAGTTATTGGGTTGTCCGGAAAATAATGCAGGATTTTAAGTTTTCATTAAAAAAAATCTATATAAAATATTCTGTTTACGTTTACAGGATTACTCATTNATGGGAAATTATTTTGATTAAAGAACATTGCTTTAAAGTAACTAGTTTCTTTTTTTTTGTTTAATACCAAAATCCTGCATTATTTTCCGGACAACCCAATATATCATTTAAAAAAACAAAATTTTCAATCAAGGGCATGAGATTCTCACTTTACTTAGTGGTCATAGCTGATTGTTATAGATACAAAATAAATTTTATTTTAATTGACCGATATTTAGGTGTGTATAACGTAATTCTTTTCAATGGGAGAAAGTAGCCAAACACTACAAACAATTTGATGCCTTCAGATTACCAGACAATTCTCAAAACATTAATCAAAAAATGTTTTTAGCATTTTTACACTTGGTATTATATTCTTTTTTCTTCTTTGAACAAAAAGGAAAGTTATAAAATGTTGTGTCTGATGTACTGTTTTATTCATTGGATACTGTGAAAGCTCAAAACAGAAAGAAATGATGCAAATCATTTGTTCAAAATTTTAAGCTTGGGCAAGGTTGATATGGTGAGTTGGAGTTGGATATGATGTGAACTCATATTATGTAGAAGAACTAATGAAGTAAATTGATTAATGGAAAACTGCTTAGTGGCCAAAGCAGATTGTTTTAGATATAAAGTCCTCAACGTGATCCCTTCTATGAATGATTCCCTTTCCATCCTACTCTGGAATGCAAACGGTCTCCACACACATACTGAAGAACTGACAACATTACATGACAGAAAAGTGCATATTGCACTAATTACAGAAACTCGACTGACGAAACACAAACACTTACACATAACAGGTTACGTAACTTACAGAACCGACCACCCTGACCGCAGAGCCCATGGAGGAACTGCAGTCTTAATCCACAAAACCCTATCACATCACGTCATTTCTACAAATGCCACAGAGTTCCTACAAAGTACAGCTGTCTCGGTATCCTTCAATCCACATCTATTCCAATCGCTTCTGTATACTGCCCATCCAATAAAACGATAACACCCACCCAATTTCAAGAGTACTTTAAATCTCTTGGACCAAGATTACTCTCCGGTGGAGGCTACAATGCGAAATGCTTGCAATAGGGCTCCAGAGTGATCAACTCCCATAGTAGCTCACTCCACTCAGCACTTAATTCTCTCCACCTTTCCACTATCTCTCCTGATACTCCTACATATTGGCCAACTGATGTAAACCATCTCCCCTATCTTATAGACTTTTTAATCTTAAAAAACCTCTGCATCATTCAATAACAACCCTCCACGATCTCTCCTCAGACCGTAGTCCCATTCTCCTAAACATATCCCTCTCCCAATTCCCAAACCAAATCCCGAATCTTTAATCATTGGCCCCATAGATTGGAACGCCTTTCGCACCCAAATAGAAAATTCCATCGATCTAAACATTTCCTTAAAAAGCCGAGAAGAGCTGGATGAGGCTGTGATGTCACACCTCTCCAGTCCTCCCAGAACCCCCATACTATCCAAACCTCGCCCATCACCCATTGCAAACCTCCTGTACCTAAAACGCCTAGCCCGAGCCGCGGGGCAGAGATCAAGGCATCCTTCCGACCATCGATCCTTTAATCAATTATACCGTTTAGCTAAAAAAGAATTAAAAATCTACCGCAACAAAGCTTTTGACTTCTACCTATTCAACCTTTTGACGTCTAATAAATCACTCTGGACAGCCACGAGAAGAATCCTAAAACACCACATTCCATATTTTCCCTTCCGTCGAGACGATTGATCATGGGGCAAATCTGACCAAGAAAAAGCTGATACATTTGCTTGACATCTCCAAGTAACCTTCACTCCTCATTCTTAACTCAGCAATGCTTCAATGGATGCAGATATTGACGAATACCTTATGTCTCCCCTTCCTATGTCACTCCCTCCGAAAGCTGTCACTCCCACCATGGTCAAGTATATCCTGTCTTGTTTACTAAACTGCAAAGCTCCTGGTTTTGACCTGATAACATCCCAAATTCTCCAACAACTCCCTAAAAAAGCTATTATATTCCTCACATACCTCTACAATTGTATACTCCGCACTACCCATTTTCCCTTACTTTGGAAATATTCTAACATCATCCTCTTCCTGAAACCTGGCAAACCAATTCAAAAACTCTCATCTTATTGACCAATTAGTTTACTTCCCATCATGTCCAAAGTATTTGAAAAAATTCTTAAAAGGCTATTGCCACAATTAAAGTCTAATCTCCTCCCCGATCGTCAGTTTGGCTTCCGACCCACCCTTCCACAGTCCAGCAGGTGTTTCACATTGTTGACTGTATATCCTCCACCCTCGAGTACAAAGAATATTGTATGGGAGCTTTCCTTGATACAGCACAAGCGTTTGACCGTGTGTGTGGCACAGGGGACTTCTGTACAAATTAAAGTGTGTCCTTCCAAATACTCTTTACCTAATCCTCCGCTATTATCTAACAGAGCGGTTCTTTCGGGTCCGACAAGGATCAGATTACTCCGAATACTGCTCCCTGGCTGTCAGAGTACCGCAGGGCAGTGTGCCAGTATACATCCTTTATACTTCAGATATTCCCACTAAACCTACCACCCTACTTGCATCCTTCGCTGATGATACAGCTATACTATCCTCCAATTCCGATCCTGCGGTTGCTTCGGAAGATCTGCAGGAACATATCTCATGTATAGCAGATTGGTGTAGACAATGGAAAATGAAGATAAACAAAAGCATCCATGTCACATTTACACTCTGAAGCAAACCTCCTTTCACGATATACTACAACGATGTTCCTATCCCCAAATCCGACTGCGTTCGCTACCTTGGGTTCCACCTAGACTCACGACTAACGTGGAATCAACATACACGACTGACACGACAAAACCTAAACAGAAGATATGGTCTACTGCACAGACTTATAGGATGTCTAAACTGATTTGGACATACGGAATAGAACTATGAGGAACCGCTAAACCTTCAAATATCCAACGTCTCCAATCCTTTCAATCTAACGTCTTCAGATCCATTGTAAAAGCTGCTTATTATGTCTCAAATGCTACCCTGCACAACGACCTTCAAATTCCTTATATCCAAAAATTTATTCCCCAAAAATGTACCAAGTTCCTCAAAAAACTCTCCCACCATCCAAACAGTCTTTCCCAAGCCCTGTCCAATAGATCCCATCCCTACAACCCCATAAGGCGTCTCAAGAGGAAATGGCCCCGCGACCTCCTTTCTTAGTAAACAGTAAAACAACATAAAGTGAAGAGGGAGGATAACATTGATTATTTGCTCCCCTCAATGTAAATAGTAGTATATAAGTTCATGTAACTGCAAATTACATATTGTAAATAATAATTACATCTTGTAATTAAAAAAAAAAATAAAAATAAAGATATAAAGTAAATTTGATTTTAATTTATTGATATTTAGCTGTATATTATGTAATTATTTTCAATGGTCTAGGACTAGGAATAGGGATAAAAGAGATGGCCCAAAGACCTTCTGCATCTCGACCTGTGTACTCCTCTAGTTTTATAAATCACTGGCTAACTTCAGTTTGTTCATCAGCCTCCATAGCCTTGACAACAGCTCCTTTGCGTAGGATCTTGCATGTGGCTTTTGCTTTCCTGGTTGCAAGAATCTACACATAATAGACCCGACCCTCACAAAAACATAAAATGTGTTCTGTGGTCTCCTTCTTTCCTGACAATATCTGCACAGTTTCTTCTGTCTGTACTCCTATCCCATACGGACCCGTGCCAGTGTGTCAATGACTTCTGCCAGTGCTTCTATACAATTCCATATGCTTTTTGCCTTTGTCTCACATGAGTAAGGCCTTAAGTGACTTGACTGTCAGAGAAAATGACTATCTTCCTGGAATGCGTTTCTAACCTTTTTATTTCTGTGGAGCACAGTTCAATTGTTATAATTCCAGAATAGAAAAACATAGCATTTTTACCTAAGTGTAAAGTCAGTTCTGTCTTCAGATTCATCCTGAGGACTACAGCTCCCAACAAGTGGTTTTATTTTTATGCAAGGTTAGAATTGTTTACACTAGAATGAACATCCATGTTTTAGCTGTCAGTATACCCAGTATACCAATAGGCAATGGCCTTCAGAGGTTTTGGGTAGTGGCATCAATCTTTTCAATGGGAGAAAGTACCAAATAAATAAATAAATTTGACGTTTTCTGATTACCTTCTTAAATCATTAGATCAAACCATTTGTTTTATTTTTAAGCCTCTAAAAAGTGTTTGATGTACTGTTTTTCAAATCAGATAGAGTGGGAGCTCAAAATATAAAGAATGATGACTAAAATGGTTTTATCAACCCTGCTAGATCTTCAAATTTGGTACATTTAGTTGAAATTAGATACAATGAGAACTCACACAATTCTAACCTTGCTTAGACATAAAACCAGCTTATTTTACTAAAAATAAATTTCAGTATTTTGTGTTAATATATCATTTTATTCAATGGATACAGTTAGAGTTCAAGAGATTAAGAGATCCATAGAAAGGTTCAATCTTGCGTACAAAATTCCAACCCTTCTAGGCGATCAATGTTGATAAAATGAGGTTCATATTGCTTAAAAGATTAATGAACTAAAAAATTTTTAATCCGGGCTACAAGAGAAGTGTTAATGTATTGTTTTACTCATGGAATATGGTGAAAGTATAAATGTTAAAGAAATTATGTATAAAATGATTCAATCTAGTGAACAAAATTCTAACCTCGCATAGAGATAAAAGCAGTTTGTTTTATTATAAAATAAATTGCAATATTTTTGGCCTAATATATCATTTTATTCATAAGATACTATTAAAGCTCAAGAGATAAAGAAATGATCCATAGAAAGGTTCAAGCAAATTCTAACCTTTCTAGGCAATCATCACAGTTCATATTGTTAAAAGATGAATGAACTAAAAAATTTTAATCCGGTTTACAAGAGAACTGTTAACATATTGTTTCACTCATTGGATATGGTGAAAATGTAAATGGTAAAGAAATTATGCCTAAAATGGTTCAATCTAATGTTCACAATTCTAACCCTGCTTGATGATCAATGATAAATCATACTGTTGTACTATGAACTAACCAAAAAAAATTGTTCAATTCAGGTTAGATAATAACCTTGCTTAGTAGTCAAAGTTGTTTTTAAAAAATCAATTTTAATTTATTGACATTTAGCTGTGCATAATGTAATTCTTTTTAAAGATAACAAAAAACTAGAAGAAATTGATGTCATATGCTTATGATTACCAAACTTCTCAAAACATTAAATCAAACTTTTTTTTTACTTTTATACTGGGATTTTTTTAACACATTTTGAACATAACATAATTTTCAAAATTTTATGTGTAATGCATTATTTTACTCATTGAATATGTTGAGAGCTCAAAAGGTAAAGACATTATATCTAAAATCATTCCATCTAGTACAAATTCTAACCCTGTTTGCTGGTCAAAGTAGTTTGGTTTAAAAAATCATCAATAGATAATAGTATATTTCATTTCAATGTAGAAATTATTGGAGGAAATTTGATCTCATATAGTGGAGTTTTTAATCAGTCAGTTCTGAGATCTCATCTAGCCTTCCTGGTTTTCATAGTGGTGATTCTTTCTTTTCTTCTTTTTAAGAAATGTCTACACATTTTTTCAAATATTGCTTCCTATTCAAATTAAAGCATTGTTATGCAAGACGGTTTCAGGTCAGGCAGCCAGGATTATAGATGATTTAACTTTAGTCTTCAATGAAAGGAAACACACTGGCATGCTTTTGAATGATGCGAAAGCCCTTGACACTGTTTGGCAAGTCAGTAGGATGATAGAATATAATATCCCTCACTACACAATAAAAAATAGTCCACTCCAATCTCAAATAATCAATCTATAACTATTCAGTGTTTCTCAGGGCTCTATCCTTGAACCCATCTTGTTGATAGTTTATTTTATCAAAATACCTTGACCGAAGAGTGTAAAACTGCTCTTTATGCCAACAATATTTCTCTAGAAGGGATAGATACAATATCAAATAGGATAAACAAAACTGTGCCTCATAGAAAATTTCTGAAACCATTTGAAAATTAAAATTAATCATAATAAAAAATGGCAGCAACAACTGTCAGCAAATGTAGACGGTTGCTATATAAAAAATATTCCGATTCAAATATCTTGGATAATAATGGGCTGTAAACAAACTTTTACTTCTCATGTAAGCGATAAGTGAACAAAGATTGCTGAATGATGACCGCATTCCTGATTTCTAACTTACTGTATATAGTTGTAAATAAAATTTCTGCTTGTTTCTGCATTTTCAATATTAAACAATTTATATGAAGATTATATTATAAATAGCACTTAGCCGTGATAGTGGAAAAAATCAAAAGCTAAATTAACAATCCTTGTAAAATCACCCTGATTTTAAATGTAGAAATATATTGTAAAAGTACTAAAGAAAAGTTCGTCAGCGTTTACATTCATGTGAGTTAAATCTAAAAGAATATATTGTTTTGGTTAGGTTAGAAAGTCGTTTATGATTTTCCTTTAAACTTAACCAATTTTCATTATTTAAACTTTCATTAATTTTGTAAACCATATATAAATATAAATTTATCTATTCATTTTAATAATAGTGCTTGTTGTTGAACAGGTCAGAAATTTCTTCAGTGGCGTTGCTCATTCTATGTACCGGACACTCGGGTAAGGCAGGTCATTGAAAATCACTGATCATTTGTTGGCTGCTGACTTATTCATAGAACTATTTCAGGATTCGAAAGGCCTGGCGCTACATTAAGAAAAGGGTTACTCGAAAAGTCATACGCAGGGCGTTCCGTATTTGTGTTAAAAAAACCAGAAAGTAATGAACCTGATTGTTATCAATTCATTGAACATTGACTAACATAAATTACTAATTTGTTGTTTTAGAGCTGCCAATTTTATAACTTATGTAGTTACAAATTACTACAACTTTATAATTTTAGTTGTTTTGGTGGTGTTTTCAACCTACATAATTTTTGTTAGAAAAGGACCGGCACCACTAGAGCCCGGATAATTTCCTTTCTTTTTAGGTGAGAACATTTTATGTTAATTTATTGTAGAATTGTGAATATTGTAATTTAGAAATTTTGAAAATTTGCATTTCAGGCACCACCTTGTTACGCTGGAACTGTTTTGTCTTTCATATGAATCTCTTGTCCACTTTTATATTAAATATTATTGCTTGTCGATTCAACGTTTGTTTATTTTAAAATAAATTACTTTAATAACTTTTTTAAAAAGAAAGCATATGATTTAGTATAAATTAGATAAATTAGTTAGAAAAATTTAATGTATCTAGATAAATCCTTGTTGTGCCTTAGTAAATCATAGAAACACAAATGTCCACATCAGGGCTTGGGCCTTTACGGAAGATGCTCCGGATCAAAACCAGAACGGTTCAGAGATTCCCGTTCGAATTCGGTGGTGGCGATTTCAACAGATCCATGGCTGCAACTTCAGCAGCCCGACCATACAGGGAAAGGTAATAATGATCCTACTTTGTGATGGAGAATTTACAAGAAAACACGCCTCAAATTATTTATCAATTTTTTTTTTAAATCATATGTTTTGAAATCTTTGTTTGGAAAAAATAATATTAATTTTTCAGAGGAGGTGAAGCGGAACTGTACAAAGGGTTAAGCATATTCTGTTCCATTGTCGTATCAATCCTGGGCACCTTGTTCTTTTTTTGTCGGTATTTTTAGTTTAAACATTTAAAATTATGATCAGTAACGTTTCTTTCATTTTATTTCAGGAATAAGAACATGATTTTATTTTCATCGTAAACATTGGGATCATTTTTATGTTAAAACTTTAATATATTATTATATTTTAAACAATTGCAACATTTTTCTAGAGTTAGCGATTATAAAGAGTCCTTTATTTACACAGTAAAATTTGAATCTTAGCATTATTTATTGCAGTTAAGTTTTGAGGTTAGGTCTCTTTAATCTTCTTTTGCACATCATTCTTATTTTATTTTAAAAAAATATTTCCTGTCAATAATATTTTATTTTTAAGAATTTTGACATAATTTGGGTTTCTATTTGGTGCTGTATTTTGTAAGAACATTACACATCCGTACAAGTCACATGGATTAGAGGCATAGTCAGAAGAACAAGTAGTGTTTTTTTTTACCAATGCTGAGCTATCGGCAATATATTTCCTCTTCTTCAGGGTCTACAGAGAACAATCTTAATTAACTTTTTATTCATATAGATATATAACAAGTTTAAAAAGATTTAATTTGGTTTAAAAAAGGTTTATTTGACTGAAAAATGCTAATACTGTGAATCGCATACAGGTTATTGTCTGTTGAAGACATTTCTTTATCAAGATCTGCTTCCCATGTCTGAGCTGGTCAACTTTATTATTTTTTCTTGAAGAGACTAGCTTACTATCTCTAGCTATCTATCTGAAAACTTGCTTTACGAGCTTTACACCTTAATTTTTTCCTAATGATCTTTTCTCCAATGGCTTCTTCAATTTCCATTTCCTACCTCACTTCTTCTTTCCTTATTCAGTCAGCCATGGTCTTTTTATTGCACCTTATCCAAAAGGCCATGTCAACCCCCCTCCTTTGATCTTGTCAACGAATCTGAAATAAAATGTATGAGTCCTTGCTTATATATATTTGCTCATTTGTTGCAGCTTGGAAGGTTAGATTATGTTTCATGCAGAGGTGACACCTAGTGAATAATTTGGTATCCACAATTGAAAGTATCTGAAAAAAATCTGTGTTCTGGGGGAATATCCAGCCCGGAGGACCATTTTAACAATTTAAATGGCTTTTTTTAAAAAGCCTTATAGAATTGGCTATAATAACTATGTTAATATCCTCGTCTTCATCAAAAGCTATTTATTTAGTTCTGCCATTGTTAATACTCATACCTTCATTAAAAAATGTCAAGAATTTTAATTAAAATTTATGAACACTTACTACAAAATTTAACATTGTCAGCTATGGCATTAAAAACCACCATCCTCATCTGATTTACTTTTCCACATAAATACATAATAATTCGTTTGCTGGATCAAAAAAAGACATAGTTTCCCCATTCGTACCCTACACCAAGACACTATGGTATTATAAAAAAATACTCCTTACATTTTTAAAAACTGATTTATTTCCACACAAAAAAAAATCTGCTACATCTTAATCATGAAACTGTGAAACTGCACGGTTTTGCAAACATTTCTACGTTGACATCGTGAAAAGATAAATGAACCTACAATTGAGATCATGGTATACAATTGTCAAAGCGACTAATGATTAATAAAAATTAAATTTATGAATAACGACAATCTGAAAGGGTTAGAACTATGGCACTATATCTAAATTAAAGAAGTTCATATATCTTTAATAATATTTACATGAGATTTTACTTCAATAAACAACCCTCTTATGCTGAGTAATTATTTAATTTTTTTTTTAATAACAATGAATTATTAAAGATAATGCAGGTAAGATTTAACAAGGGTTAAAAAGATTTAATTTAAAAAAAAGTAAATTATGTACTAATTACTAAAATAATAGTTTAAAACTATGTAGCCTCTTTCAACTTTAATAACTAGATCTAAAAATATTAACTATTTACTTTATTTTTTTTATTGAAAAAAAAGACAATATAAAACAAGATGTTCTAATACTGATTATAATGACAATTACTGAGATGTTTTTAATCAATAAAAACCGTTCAGAAATAAAAATTTTATATAAACGAAATAACTGTTGGGTTCCAGTTTTCAAATCAGTACTTTCTAAATGAATCGAATCGGGTGAAAATGTGTCGTCGAATAGAATGTCAACATCTTGTAGGAAACAAAAATGGGGCAATGTAGGAAATTGGAATAAAAAAATAACTTAAGACTTCCTTGACTAGCACAAAGTCCAACAGGACGATACGGAGTTCCTCCTCCATTGGCACTTGCCTCGCTCTCCGACCGGTTTTCTCAATCCCTCTTCACACATGTAAATACAATTAACAAGGCCTGAAAGTTTGAGTTAGTTAAACAGTTAAGATAACAATTTTAAAAATAAATTAATTTGAAGTATCAATAAAAAAAGTTGTTAAATTAGGCAAATTTTGAAAAGCTGACTTTTAAATTTCATAAATATCTGGGCTAAAGTGTTGTTTAAAGTGATCCAATCACATAAAAATGTATTTATAGTTTTTTCTTCAAATATAGCTAAGAATATTTGTTATTTGTTGTGAAATTTAGAATATATAAAAAGATTTTATTATATTAAATAGCATTGTTTAGTAAATTGTACAGTTTTGTTTAAAATATGTAATAGTATCAAGTTAAAATTTAAAGTAACACCTGAAATTATTATTTAATAATATGTAATGTTTAATATTTATGTTTAACTGTTTAATTAACCCTGCACATAGGAGTACCAAGTGCCAGAAAACAAAAATTGAATAATTTTTTTTAGCATTTGAGTTTCTTGCATTGGACGCCCAGCTCTGTGCACATGCACTCGAGGCAAGGATTTGAAAGTTCAGCGATGATTTTTCCTACTCTGTACATGCGACCGTAAATGTTACATCCGGCGAGTTTAAGGAGGCCTTTTGTAAAATCGGAAGATGGCTCGTTTGAATCGGCTTTTTCTTCTGGGCTGTCAATCGAGTTGTTTTTGAAATGGTCGGCCCTTTCATCTGCATGGAGGACGAGATTGAACTCCGGGCTGTCAGAATCTTGGCTGTCGTAGACTGAATTTGTCGAAGGCTTCTGAGTCGTCGTCTCTGCCTTTGACCCTTCAGGGCTTCCGTTGAACAGCAATTCTAAAACACTGCTGAAAGAAATATTGTCATAATCGTAATCCTTAGATTTTTCTGTAGTGGTCGCCTCAGTGGTCGACGTCGCGTTAGGCCTCGGTGTAGAAAAATTCACAGCAGTAGGTTTTTCAAAATGAGGGATCATATCTTTCATAATATGGACAAGATCGGGAGCTGGTTCTGTCCTGATGACATCTTTGAACGGATCCGGTGTCACGATGACATCTGCTACTGTTATGGCCGGTAAGTTGGAAAGACTTTCTGGAATGTAAGTCGGAGGAGTGACTTCACTTTTCAAAGGTTCTTCTAGTCCATCATCTGCATAAAATTAAATAAATAAAAATTGTTTGACTTTATTATTAAAAAAAAAAAAAACAGATCTTACCACACTGACAGCAAGAGTCTTTATGACATTGTGATTTATCACTGCATTTTGCTTTTTGGCAGTGTACTTTGCCAAAGTAGCAGACACAAAGCTCACATGCTTTTGGCTCACTAACGACTTCACCGTGATGGTATGTGGTGCCTTTTGTTTTACAACGCCCTGTAAATTTAAGTTGATAAAAAATACAAAAATAAAAACAACTTAAACCACTACCTTCTTCAAAAAGTTTGGGTGGTTCGGTGATTAAAGGTAAATTGGTCTCAGATGTATGCTCACTTTGAACGTTTGAGCTTCCGACAAAAGGTCCCTCAAATTTTGATTCATAAAATGGGCCATCTATCATTGGATCTCTTGGTAAAAATCCACCTAATTAGAAAATAAAGTTGTTCATTACTTAAATCAAGAATTAACAAGAGTGAGTCTAGTTTGACCCAAAAACATCTCCTGGCAGAAAGACTTTTAGTATACTCTTCAATAATTAATAATTAAGCTTAAAGTATGATGACATTCTTTTATAAACAGACTAAAGAAAATATTCACAATTTCATAATTGTACTGACCCTCGGTCTCAGCAGGAGGTGAAAATTTGCTGTTTTGTGGAACTTCAAAGAACAAAGGCCCTTGTGTAGTTCGCAGTTTGCCATCGTCATGTTCGAAAGGCTCGCTGCCTTCATCGCCAGTGACAACTGCATCTGCAGCCACGAATGGAATGATCCTGTTGATATAACATTTTAATTATGTAAGACTAGTCGTATAAGTTAAGTTTGGTTAATATTACTTCAGGTTTGGTAAGGATGGAGGAAGAGATGGCTCGTTATAGTCATACTCATCGTAGTCACCGTCTCGTTCCAACGTCCTGTTTATTATAGCTTCGAGCACAGCTGGGATCGCCCTAACTGTCGGACTGGCAGAACTGTTCAACTTCATTGTTGTAATCTGAGAAGGCGATGTAGTCGACAAGAAGTATTCTGTCGTCGTCGCATCTGCATCCACATACTGATCATCATACCCTCCAGACCTCAGTTCTGTATCGTTGCCCACTTCAGTCATAGTCGTATCATCAAATGTTGTAGTGACAAACGGCGTTGTAGACTCTGGGAAATAAGTTGTGAAGTTCTCTTCGGTTACAAAAGTTGTTGTTTCAAACTGTGACTCCTAAAGAGTGAAACGTTATAAAATGTGAATTTAAAATTTTTGAAATTGTAAAAAAATTGAACCTTTGTAACGGAAGATTCTGTTTCCTCTTCAGGGCTACCTGTAAAATAAATATTTAGTTTAATGTTCAGTTTGATATTTATTTTTTTCCTTACTACAATTGTAACTAGTGGGGCAGCAGTGCCCTTTGCTGATAATGGGCCGGCAGTGGCTTAGTGGAGGCATGCTGCAGACGACAGGTTCACAGCGCACCCGACCCTGCATACAGAAGCAGTTTTCGCAGTTCTTCTCCATTTTTAGAAGCCTTTCACCTTCCGGGTATTTTACACCTTCGACGTGACAACCTGCCAGATATTGAAATTTTAAAACTACCATATACAAAACGACTGTGTAAACTACCTATGTAAGAAGGTGTCGAAGTTGGCGATACGGTCGTCGAAGTGGTCATGTTTGACGCATCGCCTGTAAAATTGATGAATTAAAGTTTTCTGAAAATATCATCTAAAGCTTTGCAGACTCACTGCAGTTATATTTCGTCGGACAGCAAGAGTGCTTGGCGTACTCGGGACTGCAGCCAGGGACTGAAAGTGTGCACTGCGGCCTAACGCAGTGCTGTTTGCCTTTTATGCAGTAGCAGTACTCACAGAGAGAGGAGGTCATCGCAGACCCTTCTGCATAGAGTGTTCCGTTGAATATACAGCCTGAAACTAGCATAAATAGACAGCATAAATTATTTAAACAAAATCAATTTTAGAGAAAACAATCTAAGATATCATTGCTTAAAAATAAACCAAATTAACAAACATTAGATTTTTATTTGTTTTTTTTTATTATTTAATTTTCCTTACCTCCAGTCCTCTCGCTTAGTTTAGATTCCAAGTTAGATCTGGCTTTTACATTATTTTTAGTTCCTGTAACATAGACAAATGATTCAAAATTTGAAATTTACTCTTTAAATACGCAATGAATTTTGGTTTTGTGATCTGTTTGAACCAATTTCACTAACATATCTTGTTTAGGCATATTTGAAAAAAAAAAAAAAAAAAATCAGCATTAGATATCTTCGTAGCACTTGTTGTTAATATACTTATCATCTAGAACATCAACAGTTATCTTCATTTATTTATGTCATTGGACTCTATTTTTATGAAGACAATACAAAAATTTTCAATTGCTGATCAATCATCGTTGTTTTTACCCACCAAACCTAGATGCCTGCCATGATATTCAATCATCTCCAAAGTTTTTACAAAATTTCTTAAGCTCAATAAAGTACTATTTTGAAATAATTTTTTTTAAACTTTCTAACAGATAAAATTTTGAACTTAGGACGTTTCCGATCTTACTGAGTTCAGTATCCTGCCTATCCTTGGTTTTGTCAATAGATGACTAGAGTATTGCCTCGCCCTGCTTATATCCCTGACCAATTAAAAAACCTCCGTTGAAGATGGCGAAATATAAAAAGCGCCAAAGCAGCGTTCAATTTAATTCCCTAATTTCGTGTTCCGCTTGACCAATTAATATGTTATAATTAATTAAGGTTTTTAGTTGAAATAAAAAGTCAATGGCACGAGCGGGATTCGAACCCACGATCTTCGGCTTGATATGCCGCTGCTCTACCACTTGAGCTATCGTCACCTCGATCCACTCGGACACCAACTTCCCATCTCAACCGCACCTTTTGAATTTTCCCTCCTTTTTGCCATTTTTCAAAATTCAAAACGAGCAGCGGCGTATCAAGCCGAAGATCGTGGGTTCGAATCCCGCTCGTGCCATTGACTTTTTTATCTCAACTAAAAACCTTAATTAATTATAGTTCAATTTAATAATAAAACGAGCGATGGCCGTTCCACGTCGACTGAGAGACCAAATAAAGAGAAACAACCAAATTACAGGTCATCTCCTAGCAGACCGAAGTAAAATGATAGGGATATAAGTAGGGTGAGGTAAGACAAAATCCTATCACTGAAGATGGAGTTAAGCAGAAACGCGTCTAACCTTAACAGAGAGGGTAGGCAGAACAAAACGATCGGAAACGACCAAACTACAGGTTTATCTATCGAGACACTAACAGAATGGTCAGTGAAATATGTAAGGATACAAATCAGTACTTAACATTAAGTTTTTTTCTTCCTTGCCTCGCCCCGCACATAACCCTGACCAGCTATAAACCAGTGAATAAGGCAAAGTGTAAAAATGCATCTGGCACACCAATACAACCAGCTTAGGGAGATTTACTGATCAGAAACGACCAAACTGCAGGTTCATCTCTGTGCAGACCCTAAGTAAAAGGTCAGGGTTATAAGCAGGGCAAGAAGAAATCTTAGCATGGAAGGGGAGAGACGCCGAAATTCCTCTTCGAACCATAACGGCGATTATAGGCAGACCAAAATGATCGGAAACGACGAAACTACAGGTTTATTTACCTGCAGACTCAAGAGAAAGGTTAGGGTTATAAGCAGGGTAAGGCAAGAAACAAATTCAGCACTTATTATGGCGAGAATGGCGAGAGGGAGAAAAACAAAAATTAATCAATGAAGAAGGTAAACTGTCCAAACGGCTAAACTACAGATTTAACTCTGTGGACCACCCTGGCCAAAACAAAACAACCAGTGAAGACGATAACCAAAAACCCGGGAGGACAAACGCATTGTTGCCTTTTTGACAATTTTACTATTTTTCGTTTGGTAAAATGGTTCTATCATGTTGAAAACACAATTAACGATGCACATAATAACGTAATATTTTTTTCAAGATTTGTCATTTTATTTAAACCTTTTTAAACCAAGGATTTTAGATCAGTAAGAATAAATGACAGTGTTTTTTTTCTTTTCCTTGCTGTTTAGAACTTTCAGGCTCGTTTCGGCTTATCAGCCACCTTTATTGATGGGTTAGTAGTTTATCAGGGTTATAAGCAGGGTGAGGCAAGTCAGGCCACTAATGAAACGTGTCCTACTGGCCAAAACATATTTGCGAGGCAGAATGATCAAAAGAAACAAAAATTCTAAATATTTATGATGGTAAGTAAATAAGTTAATTTAAAATACCAAGAGTTTTCTTTTTAAATAGTGGGAATGGTTGAATAATTTAACACTTTTGATTGCTTAAGTCAACGACGTTTGATCGTCGGTGGGTTTTTTCCTTGTTGTCTTCCAGATTCACTGCATACAGACATACAAACACTGACGATTGTAGATTGAGGTAGAGTTGAACATGAACATGGTTAGTTCCTCACTCTTTTCAAAACACAACAAAAAAACTGTAATATTTACAAAATTATAGAATATTTTATTACATAAGAAAAAACTCTAATATTTATAAAATTATAAGATATTTGATTTTTTGGATCTGTCCTGGAAAAAAAATAGAAATACAGGAACGCTTACATATCTAAAATATTCACAGACTCTTCCAGAAATTTACAATCCATTGCTTTACTGTAGAAAACTTCTGGTTATTGTTAACAACCGTAATAAAATATTCAAAAAAGTACAATTTTAAAAATTAAATGAAATAAAATGAAAAAAATTGCACTGGCGAACAAATTTAGCGCAATACTCATTGAGAAATAACAACAAAAAGAGAAAAGATTTTCATTACGAAATTTCGTATTAATTAAAAATATAAAAATAAAAAAAATATATGGGACGGAACGGCAGAAAAGCTCTAGCTTATCAAAAACACGGTAGATATTTCCAAACAGAACCACTGCAATTGGCCCAGTGGCGTTATACGAGCAATAAAGAACGCAATAAAAGAACTTTGACAGTTTTAATGGGCCAGGTCATCCAAGAAGCTTTTGCGTGTCAAGAGCACGACCGAGCCATGACCCACCGAAGGTCTCAAACGCAAGGAAGGGAGCTCACCCGTTTGAGAATAGGCCATACACGATTGACACACGGACACCTGTTCTTGGGACACTTGTAGAGAAAGGTTGCTCATGTGTTACATTTGTTCGAGCAGTACTACGCCTTGGCCACTTACAGGGAGCAAGTAGGCATATCGTCCATAAAAAAAAATCATATTAAAAAAGACAATTTCATCCGGATAAGAATAGGTCTAGGTTGACAGTTTTGTTCGAGAACCTGTACAGTGTACTGTGTACAATGCCTGGCATGTAGAACAAGGTTGCGTCCTTCTTAATTGAATTCTTTCTTGGCTCTATACAGAAAGCGCGTAAGACTGCTACTCGATATGAAAAAACGTGTCTTTGAGTCCACTGTTCCGATTTATGGAGGAATTTGGGCTGTTTTATTATAAAGTACTTGGTACGTTTCCTTTTACGTGTATCGAGATTGAATGTATTTATTAGAGTGAATGTATGGGGTGATAGGGCTTATGGTTGAATTAAGTACCCGTCAACCTTCAAGTATGAAGGGTAAATAAAGGAATATGGAGTACTCTACCATCCTGAGGAGGAGGAAACAGCCACCCATATCATCTTCGAATGCGAAGCAACAGCCAATGAAGATTCAACCTGAAGCTAAGCCTAAAATCCTGCGTTGGAGGCTGAAAATTCCTAGCTGTTTTTAGAATTGAGTAGTGCGCTAAATTGTCTGTCGTTCTAAAACTTTAATATTATTTAAAATAAACATAACCAGGCTGCAATGGCTGTCAAGAGCTACACTATTTACACAACATATATACAAAGTCCAACATTTGTGCAGGAAATCCAAGAAAATTTTACAATGACAAAATACAGGATATTTATGTACAACTAACCGTCCGGGCAGAGGAGCTTGTCGCAGCAGGTATTGGGCCTTTGGAGGAGGATGCAGGACTCCGGGGGTGGCCTGGGGAGCCGGGGGCAAACTTTCAGTCGGCACTGGAGCTTGCCCCTGGCGCAGGAGCACTCGAGGCATGGGTCCGACGTCTCCACTGCGCCGCCCTCCTTCACCTCTTTGCCGCTGCTCGATCTGCAGCCTTTCGTGGACGACAGGTTTTTATTTCCAAATTTATATGACCGGCATGCTTAGGCGAAAGGGAAAGAGCAAAAACCATTTCGTGCAAGGCCAAACCGACTCCGGATCGACTGGGAGTGTTGAGTGAGAAGAAAAGTTATGAAAAAAGCATGCTGAAGAATTTTTTTCACTTTGTGCTATAACAGTGGTTTTTGATCAAAGAAATATGCTAGCCAAATAACAATCAATGCAGAGAAGCATGCATGTCAACAAATCTGACACAACCATACACACAGTTTCAAGTTTGAAAAAAAGTTTTTATGTAAGGTATTGGTTGAGATAAAAAAGTCAGCGTCACGAGCGGGATTCGAACCAACGGCCTTTGGCTAAATAACCAAGGACGGTTGAGATGGGAAGTTGGTGACCGAGTTGATCGAAGTCACGATAGCTCAAGTGATAAAACAGCGGCCTATTTAGCCCAAGATCGTGGGTTCGAATCCCGCTCGTGACGCTGACTTTTTTATCTCAACCAATACTTTACCTAAAAAGTAATTAATTGAAAGGAGTTATTTGGTCAATCGGACCACGAAATATAACGGATTTAAAAACAAAAATTGATTATGCTAGAAAAAATATATTTTATGATCTCAGACATAACTGACTTGAAGCATGTTTTGGAAATTTGCCGAAATTCATCAAGCATTAAGAAATAACGTTCCAAATTCATAAAAGCAATGCAAAACTATTGTGACTTCCGTTTGGAAGATACGAGGGGATGAACAGTTCGGTCATTTTAGGTCATTTTGGTTTGCCTGTTCTCGCTGTTTCGTCTGTCAGATGTATTTCTATTACTCGTTTTAAGCGGTGGGTTTAAGTCGGTGACTCACCCTGTTTATACCCTTGACATATCGCCTTAATTATATCGAAAATAATAATTCAGATATCGTGAGATGCGGTCTGGTGTGATGTAGTTTCAGAAAAACATTTTCTTTATCGTGCCAACGTTTCGATCTTTATTGAGATCATCTTCAGGGCATGGGATTTACAAACGTTGGACGTATATAAACATAAAACAGCAAAATCTCACTAGCACGTGCACGACACGCAAGAATGGTACAATTACACAGAATACAAACACTTTGTATGAGAAGAAATACTTTGATTGAATATAAAAAAAAAATATATATATATATATATATATATATATTTTGCATTGTATAAATTCACTTTTCCACATCCAAAATGTAATTGTTATATGTAAACAATGTTTGTAAATCCCAGGCCCTGAAGATGATCTCAATAAAGATCGAAACGTTGGCACGATAAAGAAAATGTTTTTCTGAAACCTACGTCACACCAGACCGCATCTCACGATTTCTGAATAATTATCGATTAACGGTCACTAATCACCACGTAAATCGAAAATATTTGGATATGCAATATGTATAATATTAGGAGAATTTTGTGGCTTTCTTGTTTATTTACAAAGTCTAATTTTATAAACATTGATCAAATTCCTGGGCACATTTATTGTTCTCACTTTTGCTAAAAAGAAATCTGACTTAATAGTGCAAAATAATCAAATTCTATTTATCAGTCAGTCTAGAATTTAAAAAATTGTAGTGGATCTTCTTAAAGTAATTAATAAATACTTTAATAGCCTTTGATTTGGAAAGTTTGATTTGATTTTCAAAAAAATTCCATCTTATTTGGAAAGAGTTTGATCTCGTTTTGAAAAAAAGTCAATTTAATTTGGAAAGTGATTTGTTTTTGGAAAAAGTATAATTTGATTTGGTTTTGAAAAAAAAACTGATTTGGAAGGATTTTGATTTGGTTTTGAAAAAAAAAGTTCAATTTAATTTGGTTTTGATAAAAGCTCAATTCAGTTTGGAAAGTTTGATTTAGTTTTGAAAAAGCTAAATTTTACTATTTATTTAGAAATCGTGAGATGCGGTCTGGTGTGATGTAGGTTTCAGAAAAACATTTTCTTTATCGTGCCATGTTTCGATCTTTATTGAGACCTGAAGATGATCTCAATAAAGATCGAAACGTTGGCACGATAAAGAAAATGTTTTTCTGAAACCTACATCACACCAGACCGCATCTCACGATTTCTAAATAGATATCGATTAACGGTCACTAATCACCACACATTACTAAATTTTATTGGGGGAGTTTTAATTTAGTTTTGAAAAAAAGCTCAATTGTGTTTAGAAAGTTTGCTTGCGAGTTGCAAATGTGATTATCATTACTATCATTATATTATCATAAAAATTATCACAAGTTTATAACCTACAGTTATACTGTTTTTTTTTACTTTTCAGAAATTAAATGGTCTTGTGCATAACAGGAGGAAAAGAAAGAACGAAAAACGCCATAATAATTAGTACTTAAAAATAAAAATAGTCATCTTCATCCATATTTTGGCACCGAGTTACAGAAACTTCTAAAGTAAAGTCTTTCTGTTAAATGTTTCAATAAATTTATGTTTTTAATTGTTAATATTTACAAAAATTACTTAATTTACTGTCGTTTTTTATTCGACTAACGTATTTTATAGTCATGTTATAAAATATATTACAAATATTTCATGACTAGGACGGTTGAAACGAGGAAAGTTTTAATATCGGACGAAAGCACTGAGGACTCGTGTGGGCTCAGGGCTTTATCTTTACTCTTATCCATCTTCCGTTAACTGGAGATTGTTAAAACTGTCACCGGAAAACTTAATAATTTATTATCCCGTTTTATTTTGAGTAACTTTATGTTAATTATATTCTCATCTCCTGTCCTGGTTTGTTTATTCCTGTTTTACCGAGATTCATTATTTTCCTTTTCTTTATATCTGTTCTTTCCTTATTTTTCACACGTACTTTTACACTTTTTATCAATTTGATGAAAGGTGTAAAAGTGTGTAATTTTATCCATTTACAGCACAAGCGGCCCATACTGTTTATCCGGCGTCGTGTTTTCCTCATTCCCGCCGAGGTCCTGTTCGTGTGAAAGGAAAAGAGGCGATTCGAATCCGTGAAAGAGGGGCCTATTTTTTTTTAAACAAAGACCAATAGAAAAGAAAGAGTGACCTTTACTTCGAGAAGGAAGTTATATTTGTCCCCTGGGTTGGTGACCTCCTATCGACTCTCACACCTTGGCTTCCATATCTCGAGTTGAACTTGGCAGGAGCGAAAACAACCCAAGAAAAATAATAAATGGAGAGTGCGACAAGGAAGGAGTGAGAAGAGAGAGAGAGTGAGAGAGAGAGAGAGAGAGAGAGAGAGAGCGAATGGATAAATGTCGTTTTACTTAAACATATTCACAAATTTAGGTCGCGAATAACCTCACTTACAATTAACGAGAAAGAAAGAAAACGGTGGAGAGAGAAAGGGAGAACAAGAAAGCGAGAGTGAAAACGAAAGAATGGTACGGAGAAAGAGAGTTAAAGATAAAGCGAGAAAGAGATGTAGACAGAGAATAAAAAGAAGAAGAAGTAGAGAGAGAGAGAGAGAGAGAGAGAGAGAGAGAGAGAAGAGTGGTACAGAGAAGGGAGAGAGTGAGTGAGAAAGAATGGTAAGAAAGTGCTTCAGTGAGTGAATGAATAAGCGAGTAAATGATAGAAAGATAGGAGAGAGATTGAGTGAGAAAGAGAGAAAGGAAGGTGCCTGAGTGATAGAGAGTGAAGTGGTGAAAGTGGAGAGAGAAGAGAGGGAGTGTTAGAGAAAGGGGAGAGAGTGAATTAGAAATAAAGGAAAGAAAGTCATGAGTGAATGGATGAAAGATTGAGTGATACAAAGGAGAAAGAGAGAGAGTGAGAGTAATTCATATGAAGAAAGGAGATGGGTGAGTGAGGAAAAGAGAAAAGAAAATGCGTGAGTGAATGAGTGAGTGATTGAGAGAGAGAATGAATGTGAGTGATATAGAACAAATGAGAGAATGAGATATAATGAGCGAAAAGAAAAGTGAGTGAGTGTGCGTGAGATAGAGGTAGAGAGAGAGAGAGAGAGAGAGAGAGAGAGAGAGAGAGAGAGAGAGAGAGAGAGACAGACAGAGAGACAGATAGTAAACAATTGGTAGGTGTGACGAGGCTATTACAATAAAATTGGCTAGCCTATACACATAATAATATTTTATATTTATATCTAAAATGCGCAATAAAATTTTTGCAATAAGTAGTAACAGAGGCGGTTAAGTCTTTCATTTGAAGTTGGCGGCAGGTCTGCAAAGTCGATGAACTTTAACAATGACCAAGTCAGGCTCGGTCAGTCTATTGTCAATGTAAGAACAGAGGAGGCAAGAAAAAGACTCAAGGAGCAAATTAGATAATTCTAAATAAACCGGTCCGTCAGTTCTCGCTCTTTGCCTGTATAAACGTACCTAATGACGGATGGGATCGAATTAGGTTAATTCTTGATAAATGTGATTTGAATAATAAAATTTATCGTAAGCCATGCTGATCGGGCCCGTACCGTCTCGCTTTTCCATGAACGTACCGAGCACAGTCAATGCAGGACGAATGGACGGAGTCGTTTAAACTGCACCAAGGGAAAGTACCAAAAGCTGCAGTGCTAGGAAAATACAAACTCCATTCCCAGTATCCACAATCATAATAATCATGTCGTTATTTTTTGGAAATAATTGGTTGAAAAGTAGAATCGAATATTATAAATCTACACTCCACAAACTTCGAATTTTCTCTCAATTGTGCTAGTGGTCCGTCTTGTTTCGCTATTATTTAAAGGTTATTCGTCCTTCTTCTAACAGAATTAGAACTAGCTTTAATAGCAGGATTAGAGGCCATAAATCTTGATCAAACTAACAAATAAATCACTGTTTTAACCCCTGTTAAATCCCAGATGTCGTACTATGCATCAAACCGATCTGGTCCGTCTACTTTCGCTCTTAGTTCAATGCTCGGTACCTTTAACAGATCGAACTGGGAAAATCAATCATATTTGACCAGTTATGCGGGAGTGTGCCGATTATGATGCGTCAAACTAATCTGGTCCGTCTCGTTTCGCTATTGGT